CTCGCCGGGTTCGGGACCGGCCCCTTCCCCTCCCGCCTGGAGCCCGCGCGGGCCGCGGCCGTGCGAGCTCGCGGTGCCTGCTCGCCCCTTCCACCCGACTGAGGCGTAGCTTGGGGGACTATCGTCTGAAAGGCTTTTTTTCACCAAGACTCCTTCAAAGGCTTCTGCTTAGTGAAAGTTGGAAAAAAGAGGAAGAAAAAAGTACGGCACACCCTTTTTTTAAAAAATTGAAATCTGGCTTGTCTTGCGTTTGCTGTTCTGATCTATCTGCTCTTAGAATAAAGTCCTGGCTCCCGCGCAGCACAGCTGGATCCGGCTGTGAAGTCTGCATGTTGGTTTGTTTTGAGGACGTGACTAGGTCGTTATATTTTTGCTTACAAAAGTTGGTGTTTCCTCTGCAAGCCTGCGTTCCGATTACAAACAAGTGAGAAACAGCCGTAGGGTTTTTTTGTTTTGTTTTCTGGGATTTTGTTTGTTTGTTTTCAGGGTTTTTTTTTTCTATGTTTAGTTAAGAATCGCATTTCCAGCTTGCCCTTGGCTTCTCTTAAAACCAAAAGTCATCTCGCAATGAACACTGCAGTAAAACTTATCCCAGGAGGTCGTACTTGAACAGGAAATAAGCCTATGGAGATTTAAGTTAGTTATGTGCGGTTTTTCTTGGTTTGTAACATTTTTCAAGCAGCCCTTGTTTCTCTGAGAATCCTTCAGATTAATTTTTCAGCGGGTTTAGTTGATTAATTAATTGGCCTGTCCCAATATATATTTGGCTTAGAAAAATAATTTTGTTCAGCCTCAATTACCTTTGCTAGTCTCTCCTTCCTAGTCCTAGGCATCTTTTTACTCTATCACTTAAGAGCCCACAGTCATTTTATTAGAATACTTAGAATCGCCTTTCTAATACATTCCTAGGAAAGGAAGAAAAATAATTAAAATGTGAGATCCAGTATATTTTAACTCTTTCAGCTTGCTTGCTTTTGAGCCTCCAGGATTTCTAGTTTGCTTATATTTAAGATGAGGTGGTTTGATCAGATGACCCCAGGAATGTCAGGCCTAAATATCTGATTTTTAAAATTCATTTATTTTATTCATTTGGGAAACATCGGCCACGTCTGTCACTCCAAGCCCTGTGCTAGGCATGAAGAAACAAAAATGAGTTCTTGAGGATGACAATTTCGTTTAATCATGTTGTATGACTCATTCCAAAGTTTTGTGGTGGTCCCTCAAGGCCAGATTACCTGGTAATGAATAACTTCACCTGAAGTTAAATATACATACAGGTCAAATCCCATTACAATGATCGAGTTTCCTCTAATCAGAGATTTTTCAAGTCTCAGCTATTGCTTATTTAAATAAAGCACAGGTTCACACAACAGAAAGGGTTTAAATGGTGTAGGGTGGTGCTTCTTAAACTTTAGCATCCATAAATCACCCAGAATCTAGTAGGTTTGAAGTGGGGCCCTGGAATCTGTAGGTCAGACGGGGAATACTGCGGTTGCGGTGGGAGACCATGCTTTGACTATCAAGGGTTGGAAGATGTTTTAAGGTGTTTATAATGAGCAGTTTAAAGACCAGTGCTGATTGCTGTGATGTGAGAAGGATAGCGATGACTTTCTCCAACTCTTTAATTTAAAAAACTAATCCTACTCTCTCTAAAAAAATCATTTCCTTCACAAGTTTTCTCCTTTTCTTTTTTCTCCTCTTTTGCTCCGTTTCTTCTCCTTTCTCTTTACTGAATCCTCTCAGCCTTTTTTTTTTCTCTTCTCCTCTTCCACCCTGTACTGTTTTCATTCAATTAATTCAGTAATTCACTAATTTAACATGTATTTTGCCCCATCATGCACGAGACACTCTTAGGCTTGTGGTGAATACAGATATCGAAGACATTTTTTTTTGTCTAGGAGCTCACTGTCTGTGAGATTCAGCTTCTTGATAGTTCAGAGCACTGTAAGAATTGTCTATAGGGAATGAAATCATGCGATAGGAGTTCAGAGGGAGAGATCTACAGTTATTAGGGGTGGGAAACAACTGAAGTCATCTTTTTTGCACTCAGCGGTCATCTGTTTCCTCCAGGCTATATCCTCTATACTGTCTGAGTGTGTATATGACATAGCTGCATAGAATACAGTAGAATTTCATGTATTTATTTATTTGGAACCCGGTATGAGCTGGGTATATGAAAATCTGAGCAGAATCCTAGGGAGGGTGAAGGGTGGTGGGGATGAAAATAGACCTGGACAGAGATGTAGAGGAGGACTCAGTAAAACAGTAGAAAAGGGCTGAGTGGTTTTCACGTGTCACTGCTCCTGTTAATTAGGCTGCATTATCTTTGGAAGATCAAATGAGCTGGCAAATTATTCTTCATGCTTTTCAGTTGCTCTTAAATTTAAATATGTTTGGCTGTCTCTTGATTAAAATAGTTGAGAGCATTGTTCTTTAGGCTGCAGTAGTGGCCAACACACTGTTGTCCTTCCTAGCTGGCATTCGATTTACATGCCTTACTTACTCTCAGTCAGTTTTATCTGAGACCCTCTAAAGTGACAACTATAAAATCGTATGGAGAGGAATATGGCATAGAAGACAGAAAATTCTCCTGGACTTCTCACAGTCCATTAAGTATGTACTGAAACTCTAAAGAAGCAAGCTTGGTTTACTGTTTATGAAAAATTAAGCATAAACACATATATCTACCTATGTGCATCTGTTAGGTGATTTACAATAATGAAGGCATAGAGATGTAAGTAATTAAAAGCGGCAAGTAATTGAACATGTATGTGTGATATGCTGGAATTTCATTGGAAACAATCATTTGTATTTTGAAGCAGAGTGCTACTTTGTATTTTTTTATTGAGATATAATTAATATTCAATGAAATGCACATATCTTAGGTGTCCAGTCTAAGGTGTTCTAACAATTTTATACACTGTAACTTCTACCAAAATGAAATAGAAAATATTTTTATCACCATAGAAAGTTCTCTCGTGCCCCTTTCCAGCCATTTCCCTCACCCACCCTCCAAAGGCAGCCACTTTCTTACTCCGTATTTCTGACACTGTAGGTTTGTTTTGCCTAGTTTTGAACTTGACATAAATGAGCCACGCAGTAGTCTGTGCTTTTCGTGTCTGGCTTCTTTCCTATAACAGTGTTTCTGAGATTAGTCTGTGTTGTGTGTATCAGTGGTGTGTTTTTATCAGTGGTTTGTTCTCCTTTATTGATGAATAGTATTCAGTTGTATGAATATACCCTAATTTGGTTGTTGTTTGTGTGTGTGTGTGTGTGTGTGTTTTGCTTTTTTTTAGGACACAATTAAAGTTTGCTTTAAATGTTTTTTGGGGGGGAGAGGACATACTTCTACTCAATTAAGAGAAACATTTGTACCATCCAGGTTTTTTGTTTTCTTTACACCTGTCATGCCATGAATTCATAGAGAATGGGTTCCAAAAGTACAGCTCCTTTGCATCTGTTCTCAGGAAGTGCGCTTCTCTGGGTGGAGCAGGCTGGTGCTTCAGCTGAACCCACGTATCTTTTTCTTTGGCTTCCTTCCTTTTCTGATCATTTTCCTTTGCATGTATTAGGAAGTTATCTCTGCTCTTAGACTGCTTCATGTGCTCCGTATGCACATTATCTCTTGGCAAGAATCTTGCCCTTCATTGTTTACAATAATGTCAACAGCGTGCAGGGTAACATGGTAGACTCTTCCAATTTCACCATGGGAACATTTGTGGGGCAGTCTTTTCTGAACAGGGCCCATTTCCTTGATGTCTACAATATCACTTGTCTTGTAGAGTCATGTGTATGTGGCCAAATGAACAACTCCATGTTTTCTAAAAGGCCTAGAGGACATATTTGTGTTGGTGATTTTGGTGAATTACTGAAGATGACAGCTCCAGCCAAAAGGAAGCCCAATTTGTTTATCTTTTTTCCCTCTTGATGGATATTTGGGCTACTTCCAGATTTGAGCTACTAGGAATAAGGTTGTTATAGACATTCTTTTACACGTCTCTTGTGGATAAATGTTTTTATTTCACCTAGGAGTGGAATTACTGAGTCACAGGGTAAGATGTATGTTGAACTTTATTTAAAAATTGCCAGTTCACCAAAGTGGTTCATATGAGTTCCAGTTGCTCCACATTTTTAATGTTGCCAAATTTTAGTGCTGTCAGCCTTTTTTTATTTTTGCCATACTGGAGGATGTAAAATGGTACCTCATTATGGTTTTAATTTGCATTTTCCTGATGATTAAGGATATTGAATACTTTGTCATGTGCTAATTGGCTAAATTGTTTTTTTATGAAGCATCTATTCGAGTCTTGTACATATTTTTTCATTGGGTGGTTCTTTTTTTATTGTTTGTGGGAGTTTTTATGAATTTGAATACAAGTCCTTTGCCTGATATATGTGCTGCCAGTATTTTTTACCCAGTCTTTGGCTTTTCTGCTTACTTTCTTAATGATGTTGTGATGAGCAGAAATGTTTTATGGAATCCATTTTATCAATTTTTAATTTTGTGGTTAGTGTTCTTTATGCCTATCCCCAGGGTTGCAAAGATGTTCTCTGTTTTTTTCCTTAAAAGCTTCCCTGTTCCAGGTTTTACATTTTAGATCTGTGATCCATCTCAAATTAATTTTTGTGTTATGATGGGAGATGGGGGTGTTAGGTTTATTTTCCCTCCATACAGATATCTAGTTTTTCCAGCAACACA